GGATGTGGGTCAAAATGGAAGACCGATGTGGGACCACAGATGTGAATGTCTAGTTGAGTATTCACCATCCAATTATTGGGGTACCAAAAAATTTGACCCATACCCAAATGGTGATGATACACAGCAAAATTTCAGAACTGATGAGGGTTAATAAACCCACTATTTTGAAAAGAAAATCCCTCAGAAAAGTCCTTCTGAAATTCAACTCAGAAAGAAAAAGAAACATGATGTTTCAAGCAACAATGAGAGATCTACCACTAAGAATTCGGGTTTCACCATCCGGAAACCAAGAAATGCACATCTCACTGTGGCACAACGTCCATCCCCAAGTCCCCAAATGGTGGGTTGGGAAGGCAGGACCCTGAGATGCCAATGACATCCACGTCACGTACGGTGAGTTTGGGGAACCAACAAGACCTTCCAACCAACAAATCCAGGGTCCAAGATACTGGGCGGACGTCGTTTCTTACCCCAGGCACCCAGAAGTTACCCCATCCCCATGGCACACAGGGTTACCCCAGGCAAACCGGAAGTTACCCCAGGGACCAAATCCTATTGGCACACTGGTACCACGCCATCGTTGGTTTGGCAAACAAAGTAGTTAAAATGTGTCCGTGCCATTGCGAAACGCATATTTAATACCATCTCCTTCAGTGATAAAACCATGTTGAAAGTTGGCAACCGCCATTGGCACACACGCATTCACAGCAAAACAGCTGCTTTCCATCCAAATGAGAAAAGAAGCCAATTCTGCAGCACACGCCCCGTTTTCCTGTCATGACTCTGGACATGGATTCGTTTGATTTCGGTACTTTAATTATCTGTTTCCCAATGGCACACCTAGTGCGAAATAAGTCGTGCAAAGCATCTCTGACCCGAGTCCCGGCGTGATCCTACGCCATTTACTACTAGAACTTGCGCCAGCCGCATGGCACCTTGCTTGCGCTAGACATCAATAATCTTCCGCCAGGTGGAAATCCCATTGGCACACCGACGGTCAAAGTGGACTAACTCTGAAGCAGGCAATACTATGCGTTTAATGTAAGCTTGTTAACCAAAAGTTGGCAACCATATTCCTGTTTGAACAGTCAGAACTATCATCCTCCACATGGCACACCAAGTTTCATGGCATTCCAACATACAAACTTGGATGTGATTGACGTCACATTCCTATGGTTTCTATGACAAATTCTACTTCATGCCAATCAACCCTTTCATCCACTTCCCCATGGCACAACGCTGATCGGATCGATTTTTTTCAGGTAATATTCTTATGCTTTTGGTTTCTTCCGCACAGCTTCCAGCCCTTTCACAAATCTCTTCGTTCTCCTCTCAAAAACCGCGCCTTGCCCAGAAGCAGCAGCACAAGCAACAACAGCAGCAGCAGCAGCAGACTAAGCAGCAGACCATGGCAAAGTCTTTTCAAAACCTCTCCGGGCTGTGTTTTGACTGGCTGCAATTTAAACGAGGTCCGAACGAGGTGCAAACGAGGTCCAAACGAGGTCCGAAATCAAATTTTGGGAGACTGACCCCCTAAGTCTCCTGACATACTCTTTGGTAGCCACACGCTTTCGCATTCTTTTCAGAACAGTAAAACTCAAGAGCTTTCAGCGGTGGAGCAGAAGAGGAAACCAAGCCAAGCAGCAGCTGCAGGCAAGAGCAAAAGGAGACAGAAGAGGAGACAAAGGGCGAGTAAGGGAGACAGAGGGGAGACAAAGGGACCGTGATAGTCAGGTAAGCATCGTGTGCCTATGCGAAGTGCCAAAAAATACATCAGTAAGTTAAAGCCATAGGCGCTGCCAATGTGGGCCTCTCCCCATTCCCCATAGGCACACCACGATTTGGCACAAGATCTTGTCATCGGCACTTGTTACAACATCGACCCAGCTCCCAAACTTGAACCCACTAGCACCAAATGGCAGGCACACCGATCTTGGCACAAGATCTGTTGTGCTGCACAAAATCATTGAAATACCCAGGGCCACACATTCTCTTTGACCGAGCATGCAACTGCGTTTGGATGTCACAAGTATCAAACAAAGTATACTCATAATTATAAACAAACACGTTTATGACAACCAGTGTGCCCCTGCATTGTGTGCCCTGCAATGGACAAACAAACAATAAGAAGGTTTATGACTACAAATGGTAGATTCATGTAGGTGAAGTTCAGCGTGCCTATGCGTTTTGTGGTCTTACAATAAGCGATGATCCAATGGAATAATAATATCATATATATCCTTTATACACACTTCCCCACGGCACACCGACCTGAGACAACTTCAGGGGAGCCGAGACAAGAAACAACATGAACCCAGTATGTCCAGGAAATTTAAGAATACAACAAAACGAGACCCCTGAACCACAAAAACCACAAAAAACTCTTAGCAAAATCATGAATCCAATCCAAACAATGGTTCATTGCATTCAATTTATATGACCACATCTTGTTTGTGTTGTAAAAACGTTCTGATGTTGAAATCCCACATGTTGATGATTACATGCCCATTTTTGGGTTTGAAATCCTGATTTTTGCTTGTGAAATCAACATCTTTGAGATTTGATTTTCCATGTTTCATCATTGAATCGCCATGTTTCATGGTTAAAACACATTTGTTCATGGTATAATCACCATTTTTCATGGTAAAACCACCATTTTTCATGGTTAAAACACATTTTTTCATGGTAAAAACACCATTGATCATGGAAAAACACGATTTTTCATGGTTAAAACACATTTTTTCATGGTAAAACCACCATGTTTCATGGTAAAAGCACCATTTTTCATGGTGAAAGTCCAATTTTTCGCGGCAAGACCCAGGTGAAACACCGCTAGTGAGGTCGCGTCAGCTGGGTCGACCGAGCCAGGCAGATGTGAGGCGCCCATCGATACACGAACCTCGTGTGTTAGATCTGGTTGGTGGTTTCAACCTACCAGCAAGGTTGAGAATATACTATTAAGATATGGTTAATGATGGTTAATATATGGTTATTATATGGTTATTATATGGTTATCATATGGTAATATACTATTAATGGTTATGATGATGGTTAATGATGGTTGATAATAATCTGGTTGGTGGTTTTGGATGGTTTTGGTATACCTAGCCCTCTGAAAAATGATGGAGTGAAAGTTGGGTTTCGGATGACATCCCATATATGAAATGGAAAAATATAGTTCGCCATGTTTGAAACCACCAGAGATGGATGTGTATTCGATTTAGATGGGATACATGGGATTCGAGGAGCCCCTTATTAGATTTATTAGTGGCTAAGCAACATGGGAAATTCCCCAAAATCTTGGGATCGAGTCGGAAGATCCCAGGTCCCAGTTATCCAGTGATGGATTCTTGGGAAAAACATAGTTGTTTTGGGAGAATTTAAGATTCTAAAATTGGGATTTCACATGATTTGGGATGGGGGGAAACCAATTTCAATAGTAAGTTATCACAACTTTGGGGATACCCAATCGATAGATAGATCAACCGAGTTTACTCAGAATCCGGGTTTGACAATTATATAGTGATAGTGTACAGCTGCATCTATCTCTTGGGGTTGCCATCATTAAATGTAACATATATGGATAACATATATGGATATTGGTCATGATCCCAATAATATCCCGTAAGGTGGTATGTTTTCATACTATAGCCGAAGATTGCGTGATTATTTGTTTCCCTCCATTGGAAAAGACATACTGTACATAATAATCATACTTGCACATGTAGCTATTACAAGTTGTGCCCCCATATTGTATTTTAAGCAATAGTAATGGGTGATTTAATAGTATAGTAAGTGATTCTGGGCTTTTTATCCCATACAAATAGTGGTTTACCCGTTCTAATACACTAATCGGGTGTACCAAGTCCAATAGTAATGGCTGTCACCAAACCTGGGGGTGGTTACACCCCAACTGTTATTCACAGAGTTTATCGATCCCGATGTTGACCAAAAAATCGTCCCCACACCTGCGGTCAGAAGCAAAAAAAAGACATGGAAACTCTATGGTCTTGTTTTTGAACATAGAAAAAATTACACTAACATAAGACACACCCCTATCATGTGGTTGGTTAGATGTTATATATATATACATATATCCCATAGTATACCTCCGTTGTATCCCATTTCTATGGAGTGAAAATATCGTATCACCTTCAACGTCCAGTAGGATCCAGTAATATCAATGAATACGGACATGTTCACCGATCAATTTATTAATGACAACCACTAATAAGTACCCATTGAATACTATTCATTAATGTTCATTAATGTCCAGTACTCCATATCCATCAACTGCTATCCATGAAAATATCCATTAACATCTATTGATATCCAGCAATAATCATCATTGCGCATTGACATCAATTAATTTGTGTTATTATATGTTTATATCCATTAAAGTCAAATAATATCCAGTTTTATCCAATATCCATTAATACCAGTGAATATCCATTAGCATTGATTAGTATCGACTACTATATGTAAATATCCATTTATGTCCATTCCTGTCTACTAATATCCATTAACTTGGATTAACATCCACTAGTCACTAGTATGCATGAATATTGTTCAATATCTATCAATAAATATAGATTGAATGCTATCCGTTTATATCCTTCAATATCCTTTGATATCCCTTAATGTCCGTTAGTATCCAATCATATCAATTAACATCCATTAGCATCAATCAATAACTATACTTTAAATACTATCCGTTAACATTCATCAATGTCCATTGATATCCATTAGTAGCCATTAACAAATATATATTTTATATTCATTAATATCCATTTAAGATCTGTTGATAAAAAAACATATCCATGAATATGCATTCATATCCATTACCCTCTGGTAAACTAACAAAGCTATGTGGAAAATCACCACGTTTAATAGGTAAATCAATTGTTTCTATGGGCCATTTTCTACAGCTATGTTAAATTACCAGACGGTAGTATGTATTGCTGAATCTATCCCAAATGAAGCTCCACCAGGTCCCGTTTTTACATCGCTCCTGTCCGGCCGTCGCCTGCATCGAAGAAGTTATCGGCGCCGCTGCCGTCGAAGGCGTGCCGAAAGAAGTCCGCCAAGATAAGCCTCGGTGAAGCGGCTAGGCGTGTGGTAGCGCGAGAGGTTTTATCCCACTTGCTATGGGAAAATGTGGGAAAATGATGGGAAAATCACCGGTTTTAATAGAGGCTTCAATAGGAAGATTCTCGAAGTAAATGTTGGATTCCTGGTGATTTTCATAGGGTGCACAATGGGATAATTTGATATCCAATATGGTCCAATATGGTAGCATGTGATTAATGATGAAAAAACTGCCCTCTGGCATCATCAAACCTGGCTGGGGAATAGCGGGGCTGTTCTTGGAGGTGTCAATATATTTTACCCTCTGGTAAACATACAAAAAACTATGGAAAATCATCATGTTTAATTGGAAAATCCACTACAAATGGTCATTAGGTGGTTGCACAATGAAAATTATCATGTCTTCTCCAACATTTTATATAGCCGGTTTGGTATCACTATATTCCCATTATAAGTATCGGGTTGTGTACCTATAGCATATATATATACATACATACAACACCCATATACACTATTTATTATTTTAATAATCCATTTGTTTGGATGAAGAGACTGGAAGCACTCATACATGATTTAAACTATATATATATAATATATATATAATTAGTCCCATTGTATCCCAAGTATGGTTGGTTTTATATTTGGATGTGCATCCTACATACTGTAGCAAATGATTATTCCTAACCCCTATATACCCCATAAGTTGGGGGATTCTTGGCGAAAGGTGCTACCAACAAAATATCGAGGGGAACCATTTGTTTGCTGTGTTCAATGTTGCGAGCCTCTTTTTTCCAGCGAAATATATGGGATATCCTGCAGGAATGGCGCGACTTACTTGCTAGAGCAATGATGTTTGTTGACCACTTCTCAAGGAATACATTGTTCAAGAGAAAAATAGAGGAAGCATCAGGAAACCATGCAAACACAAAAAAAGGAGATGCTCCGGGAAATGTTTCTTTCATCCACGTGTTGTCTCCGGGAATTCTTTACTATAAAGGAAACACCTGTAAACCCGGTATGTATAAAAGCCATGTGGCGTCCTCTGAAATGTTCATCATTGAATAGCATTGGATTACCATTGGGATGGAAAACCGTTTTTTTTTTCTGCCAGCTTTATGCCCTTCTTCTACCTATCTATTGAAACCAACAACTGAGACTGGGGTACCACACTCACTTCATGGCCATTTTAGGAGAGATTATGACGATCAACTATAATTTTTGGGGAGCCATATGTTCAAACCAAACCATGGAATGTGTATAACATATGTATTACATATATATATATGATAAAGCCCCATCATATCCCACTATATTCCGATGTTGATAGCTATTGTTAGCTGCACATCGGTTGTACCCTCTGGTAATCAAATATGGCTTGCCGGAAAATGCCCCTTTTTGATGCTTCATACTTTATGAGGTTCATCCCAGCTATTGGGCATCCCCCATGACTATGGAAACCTCCACAAAACTCATGAGATTTCATCGTCCACTGGTTGAAAGGACGGGGTTTCTCTAGGCAAGCCGGGCCCACTTCCAATGGATTATGATCATTTTCCTATTCAAATAGCGATGTGTATCTGTGGCTATCCCCTATTCATAGACAAACCCATTTCCAAGAATCCAGCTGATAGTGGATTTTCCAATGGCCCAGTCGAAATAGTGGATTTTCCCGATTTTCCCATTAAAAATGGTGATTTTCCATAGTTTTTTGTATGTTTAAAGATGGCACCGACCTGGCCAGCTGGTTAGGTCAAGCGGCTTTTGCAACCGCCTCACACCTCCAAAGGATTCGATGTAAACCTCGTGGTGGAGTCACCCGAAACGAACTGGGGCACGGTGTTTATTAGATATGAACACTGGGAGATACAGCCAGCAAAATGTCAAAAAAAATGTTGATATCTATCTATATGCAAAAACTATATGAAGATATACAGTATCTATATATATATGTATGATAATGTAACACATGTAATATGTTTGACGTATTGAAATGCAAGGACTGAACTATGAAACATAACCTCACACGAATCATCGACATACGATACAAACAGCAAATCAATTCGTTAAGTCAAATGGGCCACCAACAGCCAATCATTGGTTCATCCATGAGTTCGGGATAGCTTCTGTCGGAATCCAGTTCATCCTCCATGGGATAATAAATGTTGACCCATTTCCATACCCTCTGGTAATGACTAACATAGCTATTGAAAATGGCCATAGAAATAGTGGATTTTCCCATTAAAAATGGTGATTTTCCATAGTTTTTTGTATGTTTACCAGAGGGTAGTTCAACTCATGAAAAGGAAATTCGGAAATATCACTGAAAAAACAAAAACTGCTTCCCGCAAAGGATCCACGTGAAGAATGACTTAGACTTGGGATTGGCTGACTGCCGAACCCATTTTAAAGCCTCTGCTGGTGAAACAACGGCCATTTTTGTGTAAAACTGGTTGGTGGTATACCTACCCCTCTGATTTTTTTTTTTCAATGGGAAGGATGACATCCCATATATGAAATGGAAAATAAAAGTCATGTTCCAAATCACCAACCAGATAATGAACCCCAAATATATGCACGTTGTTTTTGTGGTTAAAGTCCACCATTTCGCTGCTTAAACCCAAATCTTTGTTGGCCAAACTCGCTTTTCTGAGGGCCAAATCGGCCGCGATCGGCGATCGCCCAGATATACCGTCGAACATCCCATGTTTTGGTAGAGAAACCACCATCTTCCCATAAAATCACCACAATCATCCAAGAATATGCACTAAACAACCGTTTTCCCGAAAAAGAAGAAAACAAACCTACAAATTCCAATATATTCCAATCAATTCCAATCAACTCCCATTAAACCTCCATAAGATCACCATCATCTCACCGTTTGTTTTAAGCGCTTGCTCCGTTGCCTTCATGCCCGCCGTACTTCGGCTGAGCTCCGGGATCTTGTCCAAGGTCAAGACCTACAAAGACGGAGAACAAACGGTGGATAAAAAAGGAGGAAAACAACTACCATAAGCAGTAGTTTATGGTATATGGTATATGGTACAGCCATGGTATATGGTATTTGGTATATGAATGATTATGGTTTATGATGGATTAGTATGGTTATTACCCACTTACTAAGTGGGGTGTATGAATGAAAATAAATCATCATGGAGAAATTGTGATAGTGGGATTATTATAGACCATCATTCATATACCATAATCCATATCATCCATTAATTAGTTGATCACCATGGTATTTTTTTTGGTTTACCATAAGCTGGTTAAAATTAACACCAGAACTATGGAGAACTATCTGTTAACTATGGATATGTCTACCATAAACCCTAGGTCAATAATAAATCTGTAGAGAAAGCCTGGTATAAAGTTGATGATACAACAAGGAATAGATGGTTGGTGGTTTTAACATGTTTTAACCATCTTGAAAAACATGAGTTCGTCAATGGGAAGGATGATCCCATATAGGAAAATATGTTTGAAACCACCAACCAGAATAGGGATTTGAATAGGAAAGTGATATTATCACAATTGAAGCAGCTATACATACTAATGGATATATGCATATTAATGGATAATAGTGGGATAACCTCTGGTAATTTGTTACAGTTTGCTATTGAAAATGGCCCAAAGAAATAGTTGATTTACCGAACTTAAAGATGATGATTTTCCAGAGCTTTTTGTTCGTTTACCAGAGTGTAATCGGTATAAATTTAATGATACAATAAGGTGCCAAACCCCACGTTCGACTATACCCAGAAGATCTCTCCTCTACTATCTAAACCAAACATGATCTACACCCTCCAAACACACTACTCTCTGGCGACACAAGTAAGGACTGTAGCCTGCTGCTTTCAAACAATGCTGATATCCGGCTGAGAGATCCATAAGTTTAACAGGGACGCAATCTATTGGGGGAATCTAATCTTCATAAGGGATCAAATCCCCCACCCCCTCTGAACTTTAGTTGACTTCCGGCACGGTGCAAGCGTGGGGTTCAGCTGACTTCCGGCACGGTCAAACGTAGGTTTTGCAGTGTACAACAATTAATAGGGATTTGAATAGGAATGTGATATTACCACTATTTGAAAACACTATTAAAACCATTAGAACATATTTGTAGGTATATGAATGGAGGTGAATAGGGATTCTAATAGGGATAATATTGATCAGATAATCATTAATAAGAGGGATGAAGCAGGGATATGGTATTATAAGTAAGGTCATTAGTACATATCAGTGAGGGATGTAACGTATCCTTCATATATTACTGTAGTATGGTTATTACCCACTTACTAAGTGGGGCGTATGAATGAAAATAAATCATCATGGAGAATTTGTGATAGTGGGATTATTATAGACCATAATTCATATACCATAATCCATATCATCCATATTAGTTGATCACCATCATAATTCTGTGGTGTATGAACAAAAAATGGTTGCATATGTGTATATATGTATAACATACGTCTTTGCAATGTTATTACCTATAAGTCTAATAGTGTTTGGTAACATGACCTGGTGTTGCCTTATATCCCTATGAAACAATGGGATCTCCGAAGAGTATATTGATGACGAATTCTATGTAATTCATTTACTCCATGGTAATCAGCGTCCATGGTTTGCCGGAAAAAAAACACATTGCTCCATGATAACCCTCCTAACACAACCTGCATAGCTAGTTGGGGGATTTCCCAGCGGCCCGCCATGTTTGCCAATTTCTACTTGCCGAACCCCCGTTCAACCCACATAAATGCTGGCATCACCATTGTCCATGATCATTCCGGATTCTAGCCAGGTTTGACTACCATAAACTGGTTCATTATGGTTTATTAACACCATGTACATCTATTAACTATGGATACCATCTGGTTATTTAACATAGCCATGGAAAATCACCATTTTCAATAGATAAACCATCTATAAATCGGCCATTTTCCATGGCTATGTTAAATAACCAGAGGGTATGTCTACCATAAACCCGGTAAACAATAAATATCTAGAGAAAGCCTGGTAGATCCTCACTTGGGCTCCACACCAGGGGCCCGAGGAAGCGGGGTACCTGAGCCGTGCTAGCTTGGCCCTGATTTTGATAGTCCCTTGGATCAGACCAGGTAAGGGAAATATTCACATTGAAACCACTGAGAAGTTGATCCTTTCAAATAATCCTATTTCCTGTAAAAGGCCTAGTATATTTGATTATCACCTCCAAAGGAACCTGGCCTTGGCCAAGCACCACCTAGTGCCTCCCAGCTGTCTGGTTCCAAGTTCCGAAGATGGCACATACCCGAGATCCATGGCTGGCAAACCCCCAGACGGGAAAATATGTCCAGAAAAACAAGAAATTAACGTAGATGTGCATCATCAATATATGAAGCATTGGTAGATGTTTTTTTGTCCTGCGAAAGCCATGAAAGTTCCATTGCCAGGTTTTATATGACCAGAAGGTATGATCCGAAGGATTTTGGCTGATTTACAATAGCCTGAACACCACCATGTTTAATAGCTAAGTCATCTTTAAAATAGCTTTCTGAAACATAGCCCTCTGGTAAACGTTTACATAACTATGGAAAATCACCATTGTTAATGGGTAAATCAACTATTTCGACTGGGCCATTTTTAATAGCTATGTTAGTCATTACCAGAGGGTAGCTCTCTTACATTACCATCTGGGGGAAACATCAGTGGTTATCCCGAAAAAAAATCAGGGACTGAGGACACGCCTGGATGTACTTGTCGATGAACATTAGGGCCTGAATAAAAAAACGTGGCCAAGAGGACCAGCCAGACGATCTGAACCATGGCAGATTTTTTTAAGTGTCCCAAAGATGGAAAATGTATGAAAATGTTGATGGTGATTACTGGTGATTTGCATGTCCGTTTGGGTACCCACGGTACCCACCCAAATTTCATACGGAGAACCGCAAATCTGGAGGTGAATGAACCCTGGTTTTCGCGCGTTTCAGGAACAATTTTGTCCACATGTGACCAGATCCCGAAACATCGACTCTTCGGAAGTGGAATTGTTTATATGTACCCTCTGGTAATTTAACGTAGCTATGGAAAATGACCATTAATAGTGGATTTTCCCATTAAAAATGGTGATTTTCCATAGCTATGTTAGTTTACCAGAGGGTATTATATATGTTTATATGATTAGGACATAAATATGATATACTGGAATTTATACCATAGAACTGGAATTTATATGTAACATGGACTTCTGGTATAGATATCATATGATTAGGATATACTGAAAAAAATGTATCACATACTATCTGGTGATTTCACATAATTAGCCATGGAGAATCATCATGTTCATTACCTAAAGCATGAAACTCAATGTGCCATCTACCATAGCAAAGTGTTAAACTACTAGAGGTATCATATTCCATTCATATATTATCATATATTCATATAGGATCCTTCCATTAACAGCCCCCATTTCTAGAGAGATTTTCCATCAGATATCTTCTCCAACACTTCAGTCACCGGCAAACCCATGAGATTTTCCCTTGATCACGGGGGCTTTCCTATAGAAAAAATGTCCCCCCATAACCAATCCGTTGAACATCCCAATAGAATTGGTTGAAGGGACATTTCCCCATTGGGGGCGTTCCGAAATAGTTTATGTGGACCATGGGGGCTTTCCTATAACAGAAAACGTCCTGCCAATGACTAGACATGGTCGCCTCTCCCAAGGTTTCATGTGGATTTATAGCATTAAAATACCAACAGCAATGGTTAATAACTCGCAAACAAATGGGTATGAATATATTTCCCCATTGATTGATCCCCTCTGTTATTGCTGGGAGTAATTAATTTCCCCATTGATATGTTCTCAGCGCGCCAGCATACATGAGGTATTCCCGCATACCGCATACTCCCAATTTATGATGCTGAACCATTTACCCTCTGGTAAACTCACGTAACTATGGAAAATCACCATTTTTAATGGGAAAATCCGCTATAAATGGCAATTTTCAATAGCTATGTTAGTTTACCAGAGGGTAATTTTGGGGTACACCCAGATTTCCAAACACACCCAGATTCCAAGGATCAATTCATCCGATAATTTCTCCCCAATCGCCATGATATCTCCCGTCAAAAATCCCACTATATTCCCACCTTGATGATTATTGGAGCTTGCAGTTAGCATGTTTAGCATGTTTTCAATTCATCCAACTTTGCAATTGTTCCCCATGATATCTGAAAGGGTTACCACATTCCATCGCACGGTAAGACTCAGCAGATCCCCTCTGAAAAATTAACCTAAGTGGGAACGATACATAGAATAATCGAGTTAGACTAATGGATTTGATTATATCATGTTATATCCCAACTTATGGCTCATATGTGGGAGGAAAAAAAACACTTACCCAGTAGGCTTATGAAAAAAATGTCACAACATTTGTTTGCCCCTCTGGTCCTGCCTATGGGCTTTTTTTTTCACACTTCCAAGTCATGCATTATGTCAGTAAGTGGCTAGTCAACATATTCCCAGATACCCTCTGGTAATTTAACATAACTATGGAAAATCACAATTTTTCATGGGAAAATTCACTATAAATGGTGATTTTCAATAGCTATGTTAAATTACCAGAGGGTATTCCAAGCCCTCAGTCGCCATGTGGGGTGGCTTATGTCAGCCGCCCAGTGACGTTGGGCACATTGTGATCACCGAGGTGGACGATGCTGGAACCAACCCAGCCTGGCATGGTTAAATTTTTCATGGGCAAAATCCATGAAAAATATGGGGAAAAAAAAATCATGGACAAGATCTTGATTTGGGAATCTCATATCTTTCATTTTGTGAAAATAGGAGGATGAAATTCATGGTTTAGTTGGCAATGATGAGGATACTATATATATATGATATGGGATAAAAATACGACTGTTGGGGTGGTTAACCCCAAACCCCCAACAAAATAGGGATAGCTTCTATACACCACCCATTTCTGGTCATTGAGGATGGTTCATCGTCTTGGGTTTACATTGCCAGACGTGATGAGTGCAACTTTGGGGTGGCACTTACTGATGACATATGCTGGGACCGCCTTTTTAGGCTCGCAGGATTCATGAGAAAATATTTTTAGACCTACTGTACTAGTTACTAAGGTGCAAAATGACACATCTTGATATACATATTTGTATATATATATACGTATATATATATAGGATCAGAATTGTTGTTCATAGCTTGTATCATCTCTTTCGCAGAGATTTCAAAAGCCATTTTCAAAACCTGAAAGCATCTAGTGTTCTTGCGGTGGTTTTAAATATGTTCACTAGGAAACCATTTTCAAACCATCCATCTTTTTGATGCTGTTTGATGGGATTGATATAGATGAACAGGCCATACCTGCGGCCCTGTGTGTCTGCTGATTCTTCGGTTTACGGTCCCACTCAGTTTCCCGGCCTGGTAAACGTTAACAAAAAACCATGGAAAATCACCATTTTGAATGGGTAAATCCACTATTTTTATGGCCATGTTCAATAGCTATGTTTGTTTACCAGAGGGTAAACCGCATAGAACTGACCTCCCACTTTTCGCTGCACATCCGCTAAGATCTTCTGCCTGCAGCTCACAGACTTCATGAACAGACACCTGAAATATCTGAGAAATGCCATAAATTTTCATGCTGTTTTTACCAACAAAAGTGTGTATATATATATATAACAGAATGGATCCAAACTAACCAAACAAAAGGATCATCATCATGCCTCATATTTTCCAATTTGAAGTTCAATTGTTTATCACACAATACCTTTTTCCATACTAATGTCATCATGGCGCCATGAATCTCCGCGATTTTTCTGGAGTCCGATTGGTTCGACATTGATGGTCTACTTCACAAAAGGTCTGGGGGGTTCCATAAATGGGGGTACCCCTTTATCGCTGGATGGTTTAGAGTTTATTTCAATGGAAAATACCAATCTAAAATGGATGACTGGGGGTACCAGTAGCCATCAGGAAACCTCCATCTGAAATCCCACCAGAACTTACCGAATCTCGGGGTAAACGTTTACACTTTGCGAACTTGAACATATTGGGTTACTATTGGGTTAATGGTTAATGGGTTCATCATGATTTAAAACCTCTGGCAATTCAACTAACAGTTTGCGAACTTGAAAAAGGCCCAGTCGAAATTGTTGATTTACCCATCAAAAAAATGTTGTTTTTTTTTTCCATCGTTTTTTGTGAACGTTTACCAGAGGCTATCTACCAATCAACCAACTAGGGCTGGAAGAGCTACTGTATCAGTGACGTAGATGATCTGTTGTGAAACGATTCGTGAATCGGAAGTCCCACAAAAGGGCTGGTGACACCAGTCCCAACCATCACTCGTTTGATTTTTTTTTTGGCTGTCCGGGCTGTCCATTTTGTCCAGACCTGAAAAATCCTGGGAGACGTTTGAAAAAGGGGAAAATCATGTGGTAAACCCAATAATAAAACATCCCCAAGTCATCACCACAGGATACCATACATTGTCTGGTTGGTGGTTTTTCGATACCACCCCTCTGAAAAATGATGGACAACTCGTCAGTTGGGATGATGAAATTCCATTCCCAATATTTTCATGGTGGTCATTAGTAAGTTGGGATGATTATTCCATTCCCAATTAATATGGAAAATAATCCAGCCATGTTCCAGTCCCCACCAGTTGGACCCCCCGCATGGCTACCACGCTGCGCACGGATTTCTGCACCTGAGGAACCGCGACCGACGGACGGTGACGTCGTGTTTTCCCCCGTTGATATGACATGACAACGCATGTCCAGTTTGCGACCCGGTCGTGAAATATATTGTGAAATATATGGGATATACAAAATATATAGAATCTCAAGGATATTCATGGGATACAGAAAATATTCATCAAGATTCAGTGAATCCCTGTTGAAACCGACAGGGATAGTACTTAGATATATCATGATATATCTTAGTCAAGTGGGGTCCTCCAAACCCACTACAAAATGCGGTTAACCAAGGAATCCTCTGGTTCCAGCGGGTCGCCAATAAATACCTGTTGGGCGAAGAACCCACATGTACAGGTTAGGCCTGATAGTGATGTCAGGCCAAGATTGTGCCATCATTCCAGGATGAACAATCACCAGGCAGCAAAACAAAGATCCACAGCTGAAGAGCAGCTTTTGGAATCATCGGGGCCGATCCATGCTGCTAATCTGCAACCATCATGATAAGGGGGGTTCCGGGTTCCATAAATGAATGTACCCCAGTATGGATGGTTTATAATGGGAAAAAATTAACCAAATTCCATAACAATCCTACAAAATTGGATCATTTGGGGGTACCCCTATTTTAGGAAACCTCCATATCAAAAAATGAAGACCTGTACTCTATCCATCGTCATGGATTTTCAGCCCCATATCATGGTCGCTTCCGTAGTTTCATGGTGAAATTGTAAGGGCGGGTGAAATGGGATAAACCATGATCTGGTTGGTGGTTTCAATCCCTTTGAAAAAGCATGGAGTTCGTCAATGGGTTTCGGATGACATCCCATATATGAAATGGAAAATAATCCAGTCATGTTTGAAACTACCAAGCAGTATATCTCATTAACCATTATCAACCACTATTAACCACTATTAACCATTAGTTTACCATTAAACCACCAAGCAAATCTTCAAAACTGGCGGTGGTTTTTCTTGTGTTTTTGTTTAGCTCCCCGTGCATCTCGCTGTCTCGGTGTCTGTCTCGGTGCGGGACTCGTTGGTATCCTTGCCCGGTGTCTGCCAACTGATATTGCTGCTCATCATCCAACAAATCCTCGCGATCTGGGGGAAAGTGATGGGAAGTGGATGGGAAAACTCACATGTACAGGATGGTGCCCCCCAGTGATGTTTGTTGGTTTATAAACCCCATGAAAACTAGTTCGTTATATCTGCCATAAACCATAGTTATGGGAGTTATAAACCAACTTAGCTAACTATGGGGCACCACCTTGTAAGACTTTCTGACAATTTTAAGTACAAGTACGTCAGTACGTATTTACTGAAGCTTCTCTGTTGTAAACTATCCAACCATTGGAGTGGAAAACTGATGGTATGCTTCTGAAAGTGAGTTGGTTTCATGCTGAAAAAACAGCTCAAATAACTCAATGAAGAGTCAAAGTGTTCATGGAGAAGAAACCTGGAAATCTCTGTTTCCCAGACTTTCCATCAATGGTAACTTCCCTTGTTTTTGCACCGGTTCCAGTGAAAAAAACATCAGTACCGTACTTATTTTAGAAGCTCAGCGACCAATGGGGTGAACGAATTGCATTATATATATATATATTATCTAATAGATATATAATTAATGTATATATGAAGATATATGATATGTATATTATATATACTATATATATTATATATACTATATATACTATATATATATTATATATATTATATATTATATATTATATATATATGTATTATATATACTATATATATATTATATTATATATTATATATTATATATTATATATTATATTATATATATATATGTATTATATATACTATATATATATTATATATATTATATATTATATATTATATATTATATATATGTATTATATATATATATTATGTATATCATCTATAACATGTCATGACCATATAGATTGCGATAATTGCCATACACATGTTCTCATCAAAGAACCAAAAGACTTCGCGTCTGCCCGGTGCCGCGGTGCCGCCTCTTCGGCCATGTGCCACAACTGAAACATGTTATCCAAAACCTGACGTCGTGGCGTGGCGTGACCCATGGGGATGTTGAACAATGCTGTGTCCCATGGGAGACATGGACATGGACACGGCTTAGTTTCCAAGCTTTTCAGGGAAAAATCTGATGGCCTACATTTTTTGGAAGCATAGTCCTCTATAAATCCCCAAAAAATGGCCCTACAAAGCTTCCTTTTTTCCATCCTTTTCCCAACATTGGGGTGGAGCCACGCTCCACATCCGCCGGGCACCGAATCAGTCGAAGCGCCTCGCGCCAGAGGGTCATGGACTGCAGGACGAAGGTGTACTGCCGACTATGGGGATGCGACAAGCCTCGGCGTTCTGCGAGGGATTCACCATGGATTCATGGTAAACGACACAGGAACTAATGGCTTTAATATAGGGCCAACAGTTGGAATGATATCATTGATATCATGGATTAATCATTCATTACTATGTCCCAACTTGCTCAGAATATGCTCAGAATTTAAGCTGTTTGATCGTTCATGGTTGAATTTTATAACTGATGCTAGATGATCCCCTGTGGGAAGGAACGTTGATCAATTCCTTATCATTCATAGTTGATTAACCTCAATTCCTACAGAAAAACCAGATCAATTCCTCATCACTAATCGTTACTAACCCTTCAAGCATCATTCTGGGTAAATTCTTATAGTTCACCAACCTTCGCCCAGTCCTAACCATGAGTCCAGAAGATGTACCCCCAATTCCAAAAACGATATTATATAAGATAGTCCAATGATTTCAGAGCATCATTCTGGATATTCCACGATCATTCCCCTAATATAAGTATATATATATCCCTAATATATATAATGATGTTCCAGTATATATATATAATATCCCTAATATTTATATAACCAGTGAGGGAGAACAGTGAGGAACGTCGTGTCGCGTGTCGACATGTTCAGCCGGTGACAAAAAAGGGCCCCGTCTGGATGGTCCCATCCCTGGTGAACGTGTAGCCACATAAATTATTGATCCTCCATGGTATCCCAGATCTAGATATATATGATATATATAATATTCTATTCTATATTCTATATTCTATATTTCAATTATATATAGATATTCTTGTGTATATTATATTTTCATTATATGTTCATTATATATAAGATTATATATCATACATTAATACACATGGTACGGTGTTTCAACATGTTTCAACATCAGCCTTTCTCCAGCCTTTCTCCAGCGGGATCCCTCACGTGCCCCATTGATGCCCTCCTCAATCGCCAAAGAGTACCTGCAGTGTTCAAAGCCCAGAATGTTCCAGACTTAATCCTGGCGAACGAGAACGAGATTCCCAGTTTGGGATGATATGATAATCACCAGTTTTACAGGTTTTTGGATAGCATTATAAAATATTATAAACTTATCATCACCTCTAATTTCCAACAATACTATCCAATAATCTCGATTGTTGGTTGTATTTATGATAATCCCCTGTTGGATAGTATTATCATATCATCCCTATTACTGGATTATCCCCTATTATAAATCATGATAATATTAATAATATGATAGATAAACTTATCATCACCTGAAAAAAAAAACAAGTTTCAAGTTATCAACCACCAGGGCTCTAGCTAAACTTCGCTACGCTTCGCGTCGCTACGGCGCACATGGGCTCTGGGCCAGGATCTTCAGGATTGAAGAACTCCTGGGGAAAAAGAAGTATCGAGGCGAAGGGAGACCGGACTCTGCGTCTTAACAAAAAAAAACATTTTTTTTCTGGAAAAAATGTGGTGGATGAAAAATATGAATCTTTTTAGGCAAAAAGTCTTGATTTAATAGAAAAAGAACTGGCTGGTCATTCAAATAAAAAACATGGTCATTTCAGTCATTTCACCAATAGACCTCTGAATTTTAGCTAAAAATTCAACCCATTCAAAGTGAATCGGCCCTGTGGGATGGTTCCAGAGGGATTTGGTCCATTTCCACGGTTGATGACCAGGCCGGCGAAGTTTGAATAATGTGGCTAAAACAATGCCATAACAATAGTGGTTGATGATGATGGTTTTTCTGGTGGTTTTTCTGATGTTTAATAATGGTGATTTTCATGGTAATGTGGTTAAACCAATGTTATAAACCACAAAAAGGACTGGGAGTGGTAAGTTTGAATCCCACCTGTATATAAAAATGGTGATGACTGGGGGATGGTAAACATGGCATGGTTTTACCCACATTGCAACTTGTAATCCCCAACTCTTAACCCAGCTGGCATCCGTCGCATCCGTGACATGCTGCGCCTTGAGAAAGTAAATCAATCGATCGCAAGGCTCGCGATTGAACCTGTCAAGCGGTGATGTTGATCCATCATGGAGCTCAATCTGGGTTACCCAGCCTGGTAATGACTCACATAACTATTGAAAGATCCACCATGCTATTAATGGGTAAATCAACTATAAATCGACTGGGCCATGGCTTCAATAGCAAACTGTGAATGTTTACCAGAGGGTCATATTTTTTGGATTTGATTGGTTTCCAGTCCTCTCAGGGGGGTTTCACCTGCTACAGAAGAACATGTTCCAATGGTTTGGGCTGAAAAAAAAAACGCGTCACCTCAAAAACCTTGGGAAGGGATTAGGGGATACAGGTTTGAGCGACCTGCGGATTCAGTTTCACCATTAGGAAGTTGGGAATGATTCGATATGATCCAAACGTATCCAAACACGTCTTCTGTAAAATATCAAAAACGAGGGGTCCCCACGAACCTATATCTTTCACTGTCCGAAACAAACTGCACCCACCCAGCTACCCTTCCATCCAATCCTAATCACACCATACCATCTATATCAACTAAAAAAAACAAGAATTCTCTTCCAATCAACTATAGTTATCTCCAACATAGTTCTCATCTTCCAACACCCATGTTCCATTTTCTCCAGCTTTTTTCCAGCATTTTCCAGCCATTTCGGCATCACATCACGGTCCGTCTCCTCCTTCGATTGGTCCCGGGCGCGTCCACCGCGCGTCCCCCGAGGCCGCCGAAGCTCACCGTGCCCTGCGCGTTGGGCGCGGCCAGCGCAGTGTCGGCCTTGGGCGCCACGCGGCGTCGCGGCAGCAGCTGCAGGAGACCGTCGCGGGCGCGGACCATGGTGGAGACGGTCTGACTCTCGGAGAGCTCCACCTGCTTGTCCTGGGTTTCTGTGGAGATATCTATGTAGATCTATGTATATGTGTATGTATGCATGTATGCATGGTATGGTATGGTATGGTATGGTATGGTATGGTATGGTATGGTATGGTATGGTATGGTATGGTATGGTATGGTATGGTATGGTATGGTATGCATGGTATGGTATGGTATGGTATGGTATGGTATGCATGGTATGGTATGGTATGGTATGGTATGGTATGGTATGGTATGGTATGGTATGGTATGCATGGTATGGTATGGTATGGTATGGTATGGTATGGTATGCATGGTATGGTATGGTATGGTATGGTATGGTATGGTATGGTATGGTATGGTATGGTATGGTAAGGAATGTTATGTAATGTCATGTACAATGTATGCATCTATACATATATATATATAACCAAAAAACACCAAGAATATATATCTAAATAGATCTGAAAATGTTCCGAGATATCTTTTGATTGCAGAAGGCAAAAAAAACATAGTATTTTTATATATGGTACCAGTAGGGAGATTCTTATATTTTTCATCTCTCCCGAGGATCCCACTGTAGCCCGAAAAGCTGCCGTGATCCCAGTGATCACGATGAAAAATCAGAGATCCAATGCTTGCGACTGGCCAAGACAAGTCCCATGGTACACAGAGTGAACAAAGATGGCTTCCATACTGTTTCACCTGTATTTTTCTAGAAAAAAAACAAAATTTGCTTCTGGGGCTCCCAAAAACAACAAAAATATTCCCTATATTTCCATATGGATTATACTCCCATGACTAAGAAATATGGTACCATATTCCCCAGTCATTTCCCCAGTCATCGATTCCCCAGTCATGGTGGATTTTCCTGGGGGAAAATCGCTCCAAGTCGCGCGCAACAGTTTTTTCGACTTTCCGTGTCAATTGTATGTACAACAGTAGATATTGTTGATAATTCCCATGATCAATATGTATATAATATATATATATAATATGTATATATAATATATATAATATGTATATATATAATATATATAATATATGTATATATAATATATGTATATATAACATATGTATATATAAAATAGTATAATATAATATAATAGATATAATATAATATAATATAATATAATATACTATAATATAATATAATATACTATAATATAATATAATATAATATAATATATATATATATATTATTATATTATATATTATATATTATATTATATTACATTACATTATATTATATTGAATGATATTATATTATATTAAATTTTATTATATTATATATATATTTTACATACCCAGATATTTCATGGTGTTTCCCCATGCCATACATTTCATCCTCAAATCATCTCGTCCCAGGCACCGGCATGGAGGGAATCTTTTGGCCCCGTTTCAGGATGCCGCGTTTCCAGAGGAAGCGAAGCTCCTTGATGGCTTTCCTTGGGCCGTGGGTGCCGATGCCCGGTGATGTTTGTTGGTTAACCCCCATTAACCATAGTTGAGCCACTTTTAAAACCATAAACCAGATGTTTATAGATCCAAAAACACTCCAAAACCAGATGTTTAATTATTAAGTGTAGTTCGTTATATGTATACCATAAACATCCATAAAGCATAGAATTCAGCCACAGCCATATCTCAACTGAACGCCGCTATGGGGGGCCCATCCTGTAGCTATAAGTGGGTATATAACCATAGGTTTAGGGCTTATATCCCACCTTAATGGAGGTAAAACAAACCATGGTTATATAATGGTTATGTCCCTTTATAAGCTCCAAAAGAATAGAAAATCGACCCCCTAGGTTTGGGGATCCTTTTGCTGGAGATACCCCAATGGAAATGGATGTTCATCCCCCGCAAATATGGCAGTTTGGATCCATCCCCATATTCTCCCTATGAGGATTGCTCATCAACCCCTCCAATGGGGATAAAACCTACAATTGCATAGTAACATCTACCCAAAAGATACCGAAAGGATCCACTTTGCCAATTTTTTTCGGTAGGTTTTGTCTATTCTACTTGTCTATCTTGGGTGCTATACTACTAAGAATCAGGTCTATGTGTTTCCACAGTATAGCGCCGAGATGAAAACGCACCTTGCCTTAACCGGTCCCCCGAAAATCCAGGTCCGTAACTGATCCATTTCCTGATTTTCTCACCACCCAAAATCCTTAGGTTTCAAGAAACAAGAACTGTTTTATTGTGGGTATGGGTCAAAATTGAAGAGCCATGGAAAATACTGAAAATTCCTCTACCCATCTCAGCAAAAACTGCTTGGTTAAGAGAATCCCCATGATGGACACTCATGATCCCCAATAAAGAAGTGAGTCCGACCGCCCCAATGATTGCCAATCAACAGGGCCCAACTCTGACCCGCAAACACAGCATCGCCCATCATCCACCATTACCCACTCGCGACTCACAACCCCCAAGCCCAAGCAATCATATCTTTTGGTGAAAAAAAAACTAGAATACCAGTTAACCAACCAGAATTCCTGCCAGAATTTTGGCTAATACTCTTTCTTCATCAATCAGTGGGAAAAAAAGGACATCCATGCATCTCTTGGGTAATCTTTACACACAAAATCAATGATTCAGTTTTCTATCTCCATTGAATAAACCAGTTCTAAATGATTTCCCAGGACTCTAAACATATCAAAACCTTCATTTACTAGCAGTTCGCACATTTTCCGCACAGCCACCCAGTCTTCTCCCATCATTCTCCCATCATTTTCCCATCATTCTCCCAGCATTCTCCTTGTTAAACTAAAGTAAACCCTGGCATACTTGAAGGTTTCCTAAAATAGGGCTACCCCTAAACTAAATCATCCAATTTAGGATGTTCCATGAAATCAACCAGCGATTGATAAAGGGGTATCGCTATCACCATGACCTCATGACACCCCACACGGCACCCCAAAAATCACCGGGCCCACCGAGGCACATCCTTCGATCCAAGCGCTTCATGGCGGCCTTGGTCTCTTTGGACCCGATGTTGCGCGCCGGCGGAAGCCCCAAGCGCTTCTTGAGCTTGGCCTTCACGCTCTTGTCCACTGTCTAAGAAAGGCGAAAGCTGTAATAAAAGGAAAGGAAAGAAGTTAAGGGAAGCCTGAAAGTGGAGATATAATGAATATAATGGAGATGTAATGGGATATTGAATGGGATATATGTATACATATAAATACATCAGTTGATTTGTGACTCATTTAACCATTATTTTGACCCTCCTAGTTTGCAGTGATAATTCACAGCTCACCCAGGGGTTTTATCGGAGTCCCAGCGGTTTTCTGGGTCACATGTGTCAAGGTGTATCGAAATCCGGGATGGGGTTGGAGATGGGCCCCTTTTTTTGGGGGGATCTTCGCCAAATGTGGGGGTCTCAAAATGCGAGTGATCTACACAGAATCATAGTGCTGATTGGTGGTTGACCTACCCCTCTGAAAAATATGAGTCAGTTGGGATTACTATTCCCAATCTATGGAAAGTCATTAAAGCATATTAAAGCCATGTTCCAAAACACCAACCGGATAGTATCAGAGTGATTCGATATAAAAAAAGGGGCCATATAATGTTCCACCTTTGGAACGGTGATGAAATTTGCAAACATGGCCATGGAAAATCCATGAACATCCCCGAAATAAACTAAGGTTCATAGCTGGGAATATCATCTATAATTGCCATGTTTGATTACCGGAGGGTAACCCTTTTTGATTTTGTATCGTCCATGTAAAACATGTTGCCAACGAAGGCTAACGAATCTCCCCCCGGAGTTGTGAACTCTGCTTCATTAGGTGAACAAAATGCTCAGTCTCAAGGGTATCCATGCTCCAGATTTGAAGAGCCTGGCGGTTTCTTTATCCATTTATCCATGTTTTTTCCGTCAGACTGATGTGTATTGAAGAAATCTGGATTGGATCTGGCTGAATTATGTCCACAAACACACTTGAAGTGCTTAATCATTTTTGGGGGATATTCCCCTGAAACTAATGCAGCTAACCATCATCTAAACAGGGATGTCCTTGTAAAGTCCTGATGTCGTTCATCCGTAGTGAAAGTGAGATTTTACATGATACGACTGGCCCCAGATACGTTGCAGGGGTTTCCTGTGGCCATGTTCCCCTTCTCTCCAGGTGGCATTGGATTGGATCACCTTCTGGAAATTCTCGATGGCCAGGATTTTCTTCACTTTTCCTCATGGAAAGCGCGCCGGTGCCAGGTGTGCCACGTGGACATGGCGCTCAACATGTGATGTGTGGCCATATAATATTTGCAATATACAATATGATATTATAATGTATATATAAACCGTACGTGTAAATGCCTCCATCCTCAAAATGGCTGAAATATCACCCATCAAGAAATAGTTCATCGCTTTGTGACGTGGCGTGGCCATAAAAGGGCATGGATGTTTGGAACGATTGGTGGACCTGAAGACATGGTACCCCAGTCATATATGGCTTATACAGCAATTACAGTATATCAGGCTTAGCAACCACTTAGTGTGGTTTTTTGTTGACTTCCGCTAGAAAAAAATTGTTCTGGTGGTCGGGAAAAATCAAACACATTGATCAATTGGAGCTATCATCCCACGATGGCGATGAGCCCTGCTCCTACGTCTCTAAACCCCAAGTGATGAATAACCCCATGAGGTTATAACACAACTGATGATATATAGAGTTGGTAGAACGATCAAACCGAACCATTCTTGAACTAGGACTATAACTATACGGTAACTACCAGAGAGCGTGCATATGACGCGTATTTTGAATTTGGCAGAAAGCCACTTGCAGCCACTTGCAGCCACTTGTTCCAAGCAGCCACTTGCAGCCACTTGAGCAGCCACTTGCAGCCACTTGAGCAGCTACTTGCAGCCACTTGCCCCGAAGCACATTTTCCTCTGGCTATTGTTTTTGTTTTTTTCTTGGGGCAAACCATTAAAACATGCAAATATGTTAATACTGTGTGTGAACCAGGTCACTATGTCATGCTTCACTGCAGTCCACAGGTTGGACCACGGCTTAGAGCCACTCATTTGGCAACCAACGAGCATCCAAAAAGTGTGTCGTGCTCTGCTGGGCGCAACCACCAGCTTTCCAGTATCGACCATTGAGCCTTCAGGTTCACGTTCGCAAGCGTGTCTTGGCTGCCCGAAGAGTAAGATCACGCCTGCTTGAGAACCTTTGTTCTGCCGAATCGTTTGGACAGTGACTCTGTCTCCCAGCAGGAACTCTGCACTGTTGGGCAATGCGGCGGAGGTGGCCAAGCTGTAAATATAGCTCCAACACGGCAACTTTCATGCTGCACGTACCAAGTCCTTAGCTGAGAGCTATTTGGGTGCAACGTGCGCTGCTCGACATGCGTTTTGAAAACAGGGCATGTTTTGAAATCAGGAAACATGCGCCGTCGGTACTTGTAACGAACATGTCCTAAAGTGAACTGATTTATTTGATTTGCCTTCTGGCTGACAAGCGGCTCAGGCATCTTCCATAATCGGAGTTCCGTCTCTGTTGGGGCGACACTTTTCAGCTTGCTGTAGCCCTGGTGCAATGTCTGCAGCACGGAGACAACTGATTGGCCTGGCCTAGCCTGTAGGTCTCGTTCAGGGGCTTCAGCGTTGATAAAAGATGTCCCCGGCGTGGGTTAAAAACATTTTCGCTTACCAACTTATTTATAGACATTGCCGGTGTATTTCTTTTGGTCTCGGGGACTGACAAATAGGTGAAGTTTGGTACGACGGATTTAATTTTTTAGGCGGCTTATCAAACTGGAATATTTCCAAATCAAATTCAAAGTGATTGATGACAAAATCTGTTGTTGTATGGTTTGATTTATGGGCGGGTTGCTGTCATGGCAAGGATTTCCAACATATATACTTCGTTCATCAAGCCTTGGGTACTCTCTATGTTGCTGCACGATCAGAATTGGATAGAATGAATGAGTGCGTTCGGGAAGAAAACTCTTCACAGGTACTTGCACGTGTTCTGAAGAAGATCCACGGTATGCACCGCTTTCGGCTCCTCATCCACTTGGAGATTGGTAGCGTTGACCTTCTTCATGCTTTGCCCGCTATCTAGAAGACACATTGCTTGCGGCTAGGCCGCTGTCAACGACAGCATTGCTGCGGCTTCTAGTTCGTTGGCCTCGTCCAGAAACAGGACTCCTGGCTCTTTGGCTTTGCAAAACCTGTTGCAGCTGATTCCTTTGTCTACTGATAGAGGTCGCATCAAGGAGGCATGGGTGCAGACGCGTGTGCGGAAGGCCGTCATCTGCACCTGTCGCTGGTAGTAGGGGCAGAAGACTGCTCTGTGGTGTTCTGCTAGTAGTTGGCGCCGCTGCATCTTGCCACCATGGGCCGTGGACAGCAGTTGTTCTAGTTGCCTGACTTCTTGCGCTTCACCTGGCTCCGCGATGGACATGTCTGAGCATAACAACTTTTTGGGTAAGTGCAAGTGGAAACTGGGCATCTGGTAATGATGCAAGCCTTACATGTTGAGCACTGGTATGTGTTTAAATCAATGCTGCTGTATATCAACCACGCGTGCTTTTATTGACGGCACATGCAGTTTACTTGTAGCGTCTCTTGAATATTATTGCATTGTTGTTGGCTGTTGGTTCTTCGGTTGTAATGAATTTGCCTTGTAAACAACTGCCGATCGGCGTGGCACCTGCCTGGGAAATGCACCTGATATTGCTCACCCACTCCTTCGAAGAAGAGGTCTTCGTGAACTGGACCTTTCCCCAGGGGCACAAACTGGATGTTTGCACTTCCGAGTCTGGAAATCATTTGATCTCGTAGGAGTAGCACCCTTGTAAGAAATGTGAAGAAATGCAGCTGGTCGGTGCCAGGATCCATGTTCCTGAGATAGAGGGAACCGCGGTAGTTTGGTAGTTGACGGCTTTCCCACATGGAACTCCGCACACCAACATGTCTCAAAAGTCACACGAACATTTTTCCCCCATGGAACTCCGATGATTTCTGGGCAAAACCTTTCTTGAACAAATCTTCAGAATGGGAAAACACCATGTAAACGCAAGTTGCACCATTGTCAAGAAAATACGTTTTGGGCGTTCTTTTCATTTTTTGTAAAACACAATCGGAACGCAACATTCATGGAGATTCCTGAAACGTACTTTGGTGGAATGTTGAGGGTCAGTCTCAAAGAGAACGCAGGTTTCAACTTGGATTCTTGTTTGTAACCGAAGGAAGTTTAGAAGTCTAACTTCCGACTACTTAGTCACAGTTGCAACCAGAGCAGTGTGAAGAGTCAGGAGGGCGAGAGAGTCAGAGAAGAAAGAGTCAGTCAAAGAGAGTCTGTAAGAAGAAAGAAAATCCATCGGGAGATCAGAAACTAGGCGCGCTAAAGCGGCGGGTGCGGAGCCATCTGGCGAGATGAGTGGTCAAAAAGTGCAGACAGAATGTCAGAAGATACGCAAATAGAATGCCAGCGAGACAGCTCAAAGATTAATGGGATCTGTATGTATCCTTTTTCTGTATGCTTCGGATATTAGGTGACTGTGCCACAAACTCTGATTTGCCACAACCAGGTCCACCCTCCATAGTGCAGATCCCCAGCTCCCTGTGATTGCAGATGGTTGTCAAATTGTCTCTGACTTCTCCCAGCTGGGTTCTCTTCAAGGCTTCTGAGGCTGCGATGTGTAGCAATGATGCGGTTGGAGTCTCCAGCGACGGCCAGCCAAGGGAATTTGAACAAAAGCTGCAACGCATAGCCGGGCATGTTCGAGCCGTCACAGCTTGAAGCCCATCTCAAACACTTGCCACTCCTGGAAGGCGATCGAATCAACCGAGAAAGAAAGGCAGCCGGACAAAAGGGGTCCTTTGTCCTTCCACACTTGAAAGCAACGGTGGCACACTTCTTCGATGGCTTCGGCTTGGAAGCTGCTGGCCGCTTCAAGGTTTTGCCCATGGTGAAACTACAACCACGGCATTCAGCAGAAGTTTTTGATTGACCCAAATCACCTGCAGTTTCCAAAGTGCTTGTGCAACTAGCGTGGCCAATGCTCCAAATGATTTCTGGGAAGCTTGGTCGAATCAACTTGCCAGTCCACTGGTGGAGTCAACGAACCGAGTTATGTATGAATGATATGAGTTCACGATGTCTCGAAAAACTCTCGCACACCGGCTTCTGCACACACGAGTAGCCCCCACACATGGAACACCAGTTTTCCAACCCATTGCTGTTGCAATCCTTCCAACAAACTAGTTCGCCCGGGCAGGGCGTTTCATCCCAGCACGTCTCGGGCTTTTAGCTGGGATCTGTTCACGACGTGGATTCTCCAGCTTCCAAACAACCATGGGCTCGTGCAATTCGTAGCCAAGCGAAGCATACAGAGCCTCAACGGCTCAGGATATTATCATGCTTTAATTCCAATACACAAAGCCTTGCTGCTATTAAACCCAAAACCATGCTGTGCCAAGTGACAAAGGTGTCCTGAGGACTTTGATCTGGATAGAGTTCAGGGAAGTTGTAAACCATGAAGGCCAAGTCCTGCACATAGTGCACTTCAGAGACTGTAGCCGTGACCCTCTCGCGTCCATACCAATGGAATCCGATGCGGGTTCCAATGTCCACGCCATCCACTCGGGGTGAATGCTGGCTCCTTGCTTCAAAAATCTTTCTCCCAGAGGCGATCAGGTTCGCCATGTCTTTCTTGATGGTCAGGAATTTGGTTGCTCGAACGGCCATGGTGTAAATTGCAAAAGAACGAGTGATTGGAGCCGCTAAATGTTGGCAAGAAATCGACCAATCGGCCAAGGTAGGGTCACACAGCCGATGCCGCAACCAATTTTCTGGGTGGAGTATATGAGGTGGCTGAAGAACATGAAAAGCTACACGAAAGAATCAGCCCCAACTCCCAACCTGCCCTGAAAGCACAACATGCAGGGGCGGCCGCGCCACTGTATCCTCACGAGGTGTCTCACGTTGGATGCCGGAAATTGAAAGATGGAAGAACCACAGTTGGATGCTGACCAGCTCGAAAACACCTACGTATGGGTGCTGGCGCATGGACAATTTAAAGGGAAAACTGCAAGCCATGATCTCCTCAGCCTTCGCCCAGCCGCAGCCATATGAGTGAAGAATTCTGGGACAGCTCATCCGACCAATCAAAAAACGGAAAGCCTCTCAACACAAGCTGGCTTGCTCAAACTAAATTGGTATTGGTCGGCCCTC